TGATAAAAACAAGACTCCGCACCAAATGGTAGCTTGTAGAAATATATTTGCCCCTGAGGTGTTTCCGTTGCGAATATTATGACACTTGGTCTAAGAAGATAGTACAGATTTAGGCTAGGGTTTACTTAAAATAACAATGCCATCGTTTGCTATAGCCTATGCACATTTGCTGATCTTTCGGTCTTGGAGTCAATAGCCTCAAGAGGATCTGGATTCATGACTGGATGAGCAGCAGATCTTTGGACTCCAAATTCTGTGGAAGGCAACCTTCTCTTCCATTCAGCGTAGCCAATTTCACCGTTGACTTTGAACCCACGCCTCAACTCATCCTTCGCTATCATGTTCATTTTCTTGTCACAAATTCTAACTAGTCTTACCTATTTTCTATCAATTAAAATATCTTTGTGCCCAACAGGTTGATGTTGGCCCATACAAAGATTCCAAGATACGAGCGTTTGGGCCTGGACTCGTAGGAGGAGTAGTCAACAAACCGGCGGTCTTTGTGGTGGAAACCAATGGTGAAACCGGTGCACTCGGTGAGATCACTTTTAAACAGGCCTTTTGACAAGCACTAAATGGTTATAGTTTATTGTTCTTGTGGCGACTTTCAATTCATATGAAAGTGTACACACAAACACACAAACCCAAGTATATGATTAATATGAAGGGGAATTTACCAAATTATTTTATATCCATCTATATCTATATATTTTCGTTTTTAGCTATGAGCATACATTGCATAGAGTCACATAGTCTTCTTGACATGTTAACTTGAGGCTTTGGCAGAAATGAATTATAGCTCTAAAGACATCCGTCAAGTGGCGTGACGGACGAAAGCTCAGCCCATTTTCACCAGATGGGAGGAATGGTTTCACGTGGACTTCGTCAACATGAAGGTCGTATTAAAGCCAAATAGCTGCATAACAACTGAAATCAGTCGTCTTCCTGTTAGTTCGACCTACGAATCTCGTCATCCCTCGCTTTCATATCAAATGAAAGTCAACTCATCAATGCTATCAAGAGATACATCGAATATAGTTTATACTTGTCCAATAGAGCATGACAATGCCGATTTCCCAAGGCTTCTCTCGCTTCGGGAATGAGTTAGCGATTTGCTAGAGGTATCTAATATCATTAACATCGTTGTGTAGTATAGTGCCTAGCAAAATTTGCCGATAATTGCTAATAAGATTTCTCAGTTTTCACCAGATCGTACTCTATACTAAACTTGCATATTTCATTAGCCCTAAAGCCCTGTCTATCTGGCTTCTTCATTTGAGCACTGTCTTGGACTGGGATTCTTTGAGATGGGGATAGTCAATACTACTGCCAATTGAGCG